TATAAGGTGACAAAGTATAAGTGACTTCTATAAGGTGACTGGGTATTTGGTGACTTCTATAAGGTGACTGGGTATTTGGTGACTTTTATCAGTTGACTGAGTTTTAGTGACTTCTATAAGGTGACAGAGTATTTGGTGACTTCTATAAGGTGACTGGGTATTTGGTGACTTCTATAAGGTGACATAGTATTTGGTGACTTCTATAAGGTGACAGAGTATTTGGTGACTTCTATAAGGTGACAGAGTATTTGGTGACTTCTATAAGGTGACAGAGTATTTGGTGACTTCTATAAGGTGACTGGGTATTTGGTGACTTCTATAAGGTGACAGAGTATTTGGTGACTTCTATAAGGTGACTGGGTATCTGGTGACTTCTATAAGGTGACAGAGTATTTGGTGACTTCTATAAGTTGACTGGATAGTTGGTGACTTGTATAAGTTGACTGAGTATATAGTGACTTCTATAAAGTGACATGTCTAAAAACTAAGTATTGGATACAAGTCATTCAGACAAATCAGTTTCTTTCAGGCATCACCTTGGGGGGGGGGGTATATTATTTATATAGAAAATGTATAAATTAACCAGTGTCTGCCCCACCCTGAAATTTCAAGTGAACCACCCCTACCCCGAGAAAATGTCCAAAACATGTCCAAACACTTGCTACCGGATGTAAGACACATAAAGCTACGAGTCCAAAAAAAAAACTTGGTATTAGTTCCTCAGACCCACATATAAAAGAAACAAGCTATCGCATACAAGACTGATAGACCCGCATGTTAAAATAATATGTATCGGACAAAAGACCTTTAGACATGTATGTCCAAAAGGCTAGTATCGGCTCAATGACTTTTGGTATCGGGTATAAGAAGAATATCAGGAGAAAGTGGTATCGCGTACACCTATTGGTACCGTACGACTCGGTATCGATTGATTTTAGAGCCATGCACTGACCGACAAACTATACGAGCAAAACAAAAAGTTCTATTAAAAAAATTGTGTTAACTTTGTCAGCTTTCTCTAAATTCTAAATAATTATGTCTCCTATTATAGCAACGGCACTTTTGCTTTAAAAAAAGACCTTCATAATTTCCAAAGTAATTGTTAATGGATTATTTTAATTGACAATTTTTCCGCAACCGGTAATGGAGTTTGTTTTTTTTCTCTAGATTTTGATCATTAATTAGAATGAAGTTTTGATAATAATGAGCGATTTTCACGAGCTAAATCCAGGCTAGAAATATAACAATTAGCGATTTACAAATGAGGAGTTAAGGCTAATTTAAAAAATAAACATCACAAGCGGACAAAAGAAAATCTTTTGCGGGATAAAAAATATTTTATCAATACCCCAATACATGTTTATTATGTCAGGAACAATGGAGAAATTGTGCATCAGGCTATTTATAGATTTTGTGGGCTATTACACGGCTATTAATGACGTCATAATTTTTTAATTTTTAAAGTACATAAAACAACAGGATAAAATAAACATAATAATGCTCATATTAACGTAAAATTTATTTTTTAATTTATTTGTAAGAGCTTCTTACTGTTTCATTTTTATCCAAGATGAAACTGGTTTTAATCATAAAACTATGACATTGAAGAAATTAACGACTACATCAACAGTAAATGAAATAAAAAAAATAATTTAAAAAAAAACAGCGGTTGAACGTAATGAACAAATGCTTGAAAAGTTCTTTCCTCCTGTATTTGATATTAATCAATACACAAATTTTTAAAGTTACATTTGTATCGAACTAATTCTTAGCGAGATGGGAGGAGGGGAGATGTGTGTGCCATTGTGACAGTTATCACACTCAAGTTTGCGTGTCTGTTGTCATTAGTGTGCATGTTTAATTAAGTACTCCTACGTCTTTGCCTGCATGCATAGCTCTTTATTTTATGTATACAATAACGCAGTTTGTGAGGGGAGGGGGTTTGTGGGCTGGTTAATGTTTTTGTTTAGAAACAAGCAATTATGTAATGAATTCAAGAAATGAAAATTGGTTTTGTACTTGCGGTTAGTGTGGTGTTTCTTTCAGGCATCTCTTCGGGGTCTCCTCGAATGAAGTAGAATTTATATAGAAAATATATACTTTTACTAGTGTCCATCCTCCACCTCGGAAATTTTAGTCCACCCCCCCCCCGAAATTTTCCAGACCCCACCCCCCCCCCACTCCTCCCCACTCCCATCTTCTCCCCGGAGAAAAAAAGGCAGAAAGAAATACTAGATTAGTGGGTGTGATCGGTTAGAGTGTTTGCACCATGGATAATTAATGTATGCGTTATAAGCATTTGTAACTGGGTCGTTTGAGTGGGTGAGTGGGTGTACACTGAATGTGCGTGGGTACCAGGATGGTGATGGTGGTGGTGATGGTGGCTAGTGGAGGAGGAGGTAATTTGTAGGCGATAGGAAAGATTAACCACTCAAGGCTATAAAAAAAACTACAGAATTTTCTTTGTGGATTTCATTATAATTTAATTTTATGCGTTGGCACAAAGCGGTATGTGTGTGTGCGCGCATGCGTGCGTGCGTGGATGCGGTAGAAAAAAAAGGGGGGGGGATTAGTTAAAGAGTGAGAACTTATTAGCTATACAAAGATTCGAAGCCGCAAGTCTAGCTAAAGAACTCCCAGACAGTGCGTGGGGACATCAAATGCACCGTCTATATTCCACGTCATAAATCCGGTGCTCTAAACTCATCAATTATTATGTCAATATCGCCCTCTTCAAAACGAGCTTCTATTATTTATTTTGATGCACTCATTAAATTCCGTAACATTTTTAGTTTGAGCATTACAATACAACACGGATGCAGTTTAACTTTTTATTTTGCTGAAACAGATGTAGGAAAAAAAAATGCCGAGATTAGACAAGGCGTTTGACGTCACGTGTTATGGAATGGAATGCGGTTTGTTTAAAATAAATCTTAGGCTTCGAGGGGGTGGGTGTGGATGGGCAAACCACAGATGAACTCAATACCTTCCCATACAAACTTCAAAATAATAAGAATTCTATAGAATTTAAAGTGTGAAACGCAATAAAATAAATTATATTTGATCGATCAAATCGTGTTTTGTGAGGGTGCTAGAAGAACATCAGACACGTAATCAATCAGGTTTTTTACAGGTGTAAAATGGCCGAGGCGACATTTTACAAACGAAAGTGTTGGATATTTTATTTAAACTCCGGTTATGTTGTCATACCATTTCCTATCTCAGTTTCAAAAGATCCTCAGGACTTTCACTGTTTGCCCAATTTTTCTTTTTCCTGTTGGGTCTACTACAGCTACTGTCTTTTGACTATTGTTTACATGAAATAAATTTTACATTATAAGGCATTTTTAGGCCTATTATTAGACCCCGCATTTGATAACCGAGTGATATTTTTAAAAAAATAAGGGAAAAACATGTTAATCTTCCGTATGGTGTCGCTACATAATAAACTTTGAGCAGATCCCATGTAACTGTTATATCGGCATAGCTTTTCTGAAAATCTTCGCTGTTTTGTTTGCTTGTCTTTTTCCCACGTTTTCTTTAACTTGCTTTCGCGTCCGGTTCTCCAATCAAATCTTGCGATCGAAATTTCTGGCACTTCCCAGTTAGCTAGCGCGCTGAAATTTTCAGGGAAGCTTTGTTTTGGATGACAATAGAATATTCAATTGTTATTATTACTAAATTGATCCATGGAAACATTTTATTGAGCATTTTAGACCGCTATATAATTGTAGTAAAAACGTGGGGAAAAGGGGACATAACTCAGTAACTGTAATTTGATGAAAACAAGGTTCGGTACTTTCCCTCTTTTTACTGAGTAGTGTTCATGCGGTGGTAACAACTGGTGGCCAGTATGGGGGAGACGATATGGTCGAGTGGTTGGGTACACGATTGCTATCCCACTCGACACGGGTTAAAATCTATGTGTTCTAGTCAGTAACGTATTCACACAACGTGTTTTTTACGAGTTGTCTTTTTACGAGTTGTCTTCGTTTACCCAAAAAAAAAGTGAAAAGATAAAATCGATAGCAAACAGACAAAGACTAAAAAGTAGAAAATAATAATCATTAGAAAAGTTAAAAAAAAACCCACGTTTTCTGATTGAACTAAAAAGTAGAAAATAAATACTATACATCACAATAATGCAAGCGATCACTCTACTATAAGCGATCAAAAAACGTGGGGCGCCGTGATTTTCTTACTGTTTCTAATACTGTTGACTCTCTACAAGCTCCCTAATAAAAGTCAATAGTATTATCTAATCAATAGTAATATAACTTTTACTTCGGCGCCCCACGTTTTTCATCGCTTATAGTAGAGTGATCGCTTGCATTATTGTGATGTATAGTATTTATTTTCTACTTTTTAGTTCAATCAGAAAACGTGGGTTTTTTAAAACTTTTTAATGATTATTATTAACTAAATGTAAACCAGCCAATATCAGCTCAATGTTTCATCTTTTTCTTTCATCTTCTGCGTTCTTAATTTTAGTGTTGGAAGGGATGATAGGGACCCCATCCAACACAATTAAGTATACGTGTCAACATTGACTCCGATTTCAGGCTGCTTTTCTTTTTGGATTTGCTTCCATAGCCATTTTCCCACCAAGAACAAACTACAAGGCAGCAGTTGTTTGATTTTTGGAAGAGTGGCTGTCCCCAGCTAACGAGCCTCATCTATTATTTTAAATTTCAGAACAGGGTTTACATTAAAATCCATTCCAAGTCCAGCGCATTGGCTGTGTAAAAAAAGAAGGAAGGGAGAGGGTTGTATGGGCGGTATAATCAAGACTGTATTCCAGTACTGAGTAACAGTGACAGGCTATCCTTCTCTTCTGGGTTCAGAAATTAATGTAAAAGATTCATGGCAAAGAATAAAAAAAATGACCACATCTTCAGATTGGAATCAGTACAGTACTTAGCTATTTATTTCCAAAGCTTTGACTCTCTATAAATAAATCACCTAGGTTAAACACGAGCAATTTTCTCTCTTCTTCACAGCTTGTCGGTCCACAGTTCAACAACGCCATCCAGCCGGCACTCGGGGATAAATGGACGCCGGAAGTGGAGCAAGCCTGGGCAGATCTTTTCCGTTACATAACACACTTGATGAAGGAGACGATGGTCATGTGATCTACCACACGCTCCGTGAGAAATGGATCAAGTTACACAACGGAAGTGGCGGAAACACATTTCTGCGCATGCCTTAAAATAACTCGATGTGCGTCTTTCAGAGACAGCCCAACCAGCAATACACAACACACTCTCTTGTAGAACTTTGCGGCCATTTAGTGTGTAATAAAAAAAAGTGTATGTCAGAGTACTGTCTGACCTGACATCACAAATGTAATAATCAGATCATTTAACTAAATGCAAATATTTGTCTACCTGTAAAACTCCAAGACAGTATTTCCTGAATGCCTACCGTTTGTTTGACGTGAGTGGTATGATTCGTTTGGCATATAATGGCATAAAGGTGTCTAGGGTTGGTACAAGGCTGGCTTAAATAATGATTAAAAGAAACTATGCTGATGTTCATAAACATTACTGACGCCAAGTCATTTTTTTTAAAGATAATATGTTTGATGTAAAAAAAAAGTAGGAAATATATCATCACAAGTTAATACGTTTGTATTGACAAAATTTACGAATGCGAGCAATTCGCTAAACATGTTTGTGGAACCTAAATCCGTAAAAATGATTCGTTTAGCGTGAGCTCATGCGATAAAGTGCTGTAATTTGGGTAAATAATGTTGAAAGCACTTTATTTTATTTCAAAAATTCAATAAAAATACGTCAGTGGATATTTTCTGATTTAAAGAAACTTGTCATATTATACTGTTATTTTTACTATGTTTTATAAGAAATGTACTGTGATATAAGCTTAAACTTTTGACAATACGTCTCTGACAGCCTCTCTAGTAACCAACGGGTGCATCGTCTGCATACTAGGAGTTAGGTTTACTTAAAAACTAAGATCGGCTTGTGTGATTTGTCGCATAGTGACACGGCCAATGAGAACTTGTCTTTTTAAAGATACTCACTGCTACAAAACCCGTATCATGTGAACTATCAGTATACGTTTGCGACATTGATTCGTGTTATTGTTAATCTGACCGAGTTACGTTTGAGGTGTAGGCTAAATATAAAGACGGTGTGAGAGTTTCTTTAGTTCACAGTTAAATTTTCATCTTACATTTTTATCATCTTAAATTTGTGTCAGCATTTTAAATACATTTTTCTTCTGTATAATAAACACACTTTATGTATGCTCTTATTTGATTTATTCACATCCACGTGAAGGCTGTTTACATATGCGTTACAAGTTCTCACAAATAATGTTGAAAAGCCTGGGTATTTTTAATCTCGTTAGACTCATTAAATCTCAGACAGCTGATTGTATTTGTACTTTTGGTAATTATAACAGCTGTTTGATTTTTATTTTTACATATTGACAGAAAACTTCATATTCTCTAAGAGAACATGTTTACTTAAGATGCTAGATCGCATTTATTAATTATTAAATAACATCACAATATACAATTATAGGCATATATATATATATATATATATATATATATATATATATATATATATATATATATATATATATATATATATATATATATATATATATATATATATATATATATATATATATATGTGACCTAGGCTAGTTGCATCTATCCTGTTCGCAACGCCAAATGTGACCTTTCCCGAGTCTATCCTGCCCGACAACGCCAATTGTAACGAGTTGAACCACTCATGCTACACAACATCGACTACAGTAGAAAGACTCGAAGATGCAGGTTCGCTATTGATCCTTTTATTACATGAATCAAGAAATGTTTCGATATAACACAATGAATCAACAGAAATGTTTCACAATAATAGTCTGAATCAACTGACCCCCTAACAGTCCTCACTAGGCTTCATATAACTGAATCCACATGTCTATTGTCCTTCTTAACACAATATAACCAACTTGAGTATGTCACACAGACTGACTGATCTAAAGCAAGCGACGACGACGGAAGAGAACGAGTTCAGTCGTCCCCTCCTATTTATGCCTTGTATCCGTACTCGTCTCCGTACTTGTATTCCTCCGTAATCGATACTTGTACTCGATGTCTCCGACCACTAGTTGCGTAGTTCTAACATACAGTCCGTGAAATAACATCTGCATCCCATCAATCAAAGTTGACAGGCCGTCTGAATCTCCTTGTACCGTTTCCCAAAATAGCACGCGTTGGCTTTGAGATTGTTATCAGCCCGACCCAATAAGCCACCTGTTGTGTTGCGTCAGACTGCAATACTGCGTCTCGGCTTCTCGTTCGTTATCAGATTTGTAACTAGTGGCTAGGCCTACCCTAGTCACATCCACCCCTGCCTTTTTTTGTGTGTTTTCAACCACAAACAACGCCTGGCAGGTGCACTCCTCCAAAGAATCGCATAATCGTAAAAAATTTTATTGTTCCACTCACTGTCCACGACGTCCCATTCGTATACGATTGACAGTTATACCTATTTCACATATCAACTGTGTCTTCATCGTCTTCCTGAGACACAAAACAGTTCTAGAATTCACATCCACCCTTTCCGTTTGGTGCCTTCACCAGTTCACTTTTATAGCTTTTTGAACAGTCTGTTCTCATACCAGCGCGACCATGAAAGACTTGATGGTTGCTGACAAAAAATTTCGTCTTCCTTCTGTTCCTCAAACTTCTCCGCGGACCACTTATCTGATGGTCTACTGTCTCTCTGCTTCTGGAAGGAACGGGATCCTCTTTGTTGCCGTTATCCTCCACTTGTGTAACGCGGTTGTTCTGTTGATGGTGATATGGTTCCGGGATGGGTATGTGAATTTCCGTTATAGTTTCCGGTTCCCTAATTGTCTTGGATTTCCTTGTGTGTAACTGCTCTTCTTGCCTATTCCAATATTTCTTTAATTGAGCAATGTTCGCCCACCGATCCGGTTTGGCGTGATCGATGGGTCTTATCTTAAAGGGGCCACCTGCTACTTTAGGCATCTCCACGACTTGCCATATCTCCTGTCCCCAGAGATCGTGGATTTTGTTTCTGCCTAACGGGTGGCTACGCAGTAATACCCTGTCATTCCGTTTGAGTGGCGGGTCCTTTGTCTGTACCGGCGGTTCCCTTCGCCGTGCTTCATGTTCTAGTCTTTCCTGTACTACCCTGTACATTTCTCTAATTCTTCTCATATGTTCATTCACATATTCCAGTGCGGTGTATGAGCCAGTCATACTCTCCCTTTTTCCTAAGAACAAATCAAGAGGGAGTCGAGCCTCCCGTCCGAACAGCAACATGTATGGCGTAAAGCCGGTTGTGGCATGGGGTGTGCAGTTGTATAGATATACCAACTCTGGGAGAAAATCAGGCCAACGTTTTTTCTGTTCAGGTTCTAGCGTACGCAGCAAATCATGCATGCTGCGGTTGAACCGTTCACACTGTCCGTTTCCTTTCGGATTAAATGTGGTTGTTCTAGATTTGTTAATCCCGTAGTGGCTGCACAGTTGGTTAATTACTTCTGACTCGAAAGCCCTTCCTTGGTCAGAATGTAATTGTCTTGGTATGCCATATTTGATGAACCAATGTTCTATTAAGACCTTTGCCACTGTTTTGGCAGTCTGATCTCGCGTGGGCACCGCCACCGTCCATTTGGTGAATACATCAGTCATTACCAACACATGTTCCGTCCCATCCGATGATTGCTCCAACGACGTAAAGTCGATAGCCACAATCTCTAGTGGTTTTGTCGCTAGTAGGTGTCCTGATGGCTGTCTCATTTTGACAACTGGCATTTTCGCATGCTGACACCTCAAACAAGCCTCACAATGGCGTTTGACCTCCATTTCCATATTGGGCCAGTAACACCTCCGTCGTAATATTTTGTGCGTCCTGTCCTGACCCTGGTGTCCTGCCCTGTCATGTGCCAACCTTAGCACTTCTTCTCTTAACTGTCCAGGCACCACCACCTGGTGTATTGTCCCATCAATTTGGTCATGAATTCTCCGCATGAGAACACCATCCTCTATACTGAGACGGTCCCACTGACTCAGTATTTTCTTTGTTTCTCGACCAAATTGTTCTCTTTCCCTTCTTCCTGGGAATTTTTGTTCCTGGACGTATTTCAATAGCGGTTGTAAGCCACTATCCGTTCTCTGGGCATCTCTTATCTTTTGGTGATTAAGGCAATTAAAATCACTACTGTCCATATGTCCGGGTTCCGTGGATATGTGCTCCACCCCGGTCTGCCCGTTCTGCATCACTTGTACCCCATGAGGGATATCTGTTGACGCTCTGACCTCACATATTCCTGTCAGTGTTTCTTCCTCATCACCCGGTCTCTCGTAAGGATTCCTTGATAAGGCGTCCGCATTGCCATTGGACCGCCCCGGGCGATACTTTATCTCTAGGTCAAAGAGTGCCAATTCTGCTGCCCATCGCTGTTCGATGGATCCCAACTTTGCTGTCTTTAGGTGGCTCAAGGGGTTATTGTCAGTGTATACCACACATTTAGCACCTAATAGATAGTCCCTGAATTTCTCAGTCACAGCCCATTTTAATGTCAAAAGTTCTAGTTTCATGGCGCTGTAATTTGTCATGTTCCTCTCTGATCCCTTCAGAGCTCGACTTGCATACGCAATAACCCTGAAACCTTGCTTTTGTTGTTGTGATAGCACAGCTCCCAGACCTTTAGAGCTGGCGTCAATTTCTAGCCGAAATGGTTTGTCAAAGTCTGCGTATCCCAATATCGGCGCCTCTGTCAAAGCCTTTTTCAATAGCTTAAACGAGTTCAGGCATTCATCAGTCCATAATTCACCTATCAGTTGTGTTTTACCTTTCTTTTTCTCCTTACTGTGTTTCTTTGTCATTTTGTTTACCAAGTCATGCAATGGTGCGGCAATTTTTGCAAAACCAGGCACAAATTTTCTATAATAGGAGGCAAAGCCCAAGAATGACCTGACCTCTACCGTGGTTGTTGGTTGTTTCCATTCTTTAACAGCTGCAATTTTTTCTGGGTCAGTGGCGATGCCATCCGACGAAATCACGTAACCCAAAAAATGTACCGATTTCAGACCAAAGCAGCATTTGTCTGGGTTCAGCTTTACTCCTATCTCCCTAAGACGGAGAAACACTTGTTCTAATCTTTTTAGATGGTCCTCCCAAGTTTTTGAGTAAACTAGAATATCATCCAAATACACCAACATTATTTGAAATAGAAAGTCACTCATAGCACTCTGCATTACTCGCTGGAATGTAGCAGGTGCATTAGTTAGACCAAACGGCATACGGGTCCACTCGTACAGTCCCAGTGGAGAAATAAATGCAGTTTTATGTTGATCGTTGGGGTGCATGGCCACTTGGTGGTAGCCACTAGCCAAATCCAAGGTAGAAAAAAATCTTGCTCCCCCCAACGCATCAAGACATTCATCAATACGAGGCAAGGGGAATGCATCCCTTCTTGTGATATTGTTCAATTTCCGGTAATCACAACACAGTCTTATCTCCCCTGACTTCTTTTTTACCACTACTATCGGTGCCGCATACGGGCTCGTACTGGTTGTAATAATTCCCTTTTTTAGTAGGTCATTCAGGTGTGCTTTCACCGCAGAGTAGTGACTCGGTGGTAATCTTCGGTAGGGTTGCGCCACCGGCTTGTCTTGTAGTAAGGGTATCTGGTGTTTGATTACTTCCGTGTACCCCAAATCACCCTCATACGAGGCAAATATATCCCTGTATTTATTCAGCAAGTCATTTAGTTTTGGGTCCTCAGTTTCCGGGAATGTATATGATCGGCCATCCTCTTTCTTCACCTCGGCCGTCACATTGACCGACCTAATTGTTACTTCATTACTGCTGGTATTGCTCAGTTCGATGCACTGTGCCGACCTTAGTACCTCGACGTTCTGTGGTACTCCTACCAGAGTATTAGGCGGTATAAAAATTTCCTCATCCAAAACATTTGCTACTAATCCTTGAACTAGTCCATTTTCCGCTGATGTGTATGTCCGCAGTAACACGACGCCTGCCCTCAGTGCGGCGCCACATGGTTCTATCATCACATCACCATTCACGCTTCTATCACCAATTTGTAATGTGATTGCCTTGACCGTGTTTGCCGGGACTGCTGTCCTTCCTCTGGTCTTGGCAAACCTGGCCAACTTGGATCCCCGACCTGGTGTGGTCGATGCGACAATATTTGTACGAAATTCTGGCAACTGGCCAAGAATATTCATGCCCAACAGG